CTTTAACCATATACCCAGAAGAATGTAAAACTCTAAGTTTTACAGCAAAAAATTTAATTTTTGATAATAAATCAATACTATTCTGGGTGTAGAATTTTTTTTTTCTTAACTTTAACTGAAAATTTTAGTATATAATTTTTAAAAGTGTAATATCAAGGTTAACTTAGTGGGAAAAAATTGGACCAGTTTCTTAGAACATTTCTTAGAACAGTTGATTTAAAAGGGAAGTGTATAGTAGTATAATTGTTAAAATACAAATATAAATAAGATATTTATCTCTGATTAAATGGTTGTTTCTGAAAAGTGTATTAAAATGTAGAAAATATAACTGCTTTAAAACACTGACTATTAGAAGTTACTTTAAAAATTATTTCAAGGATTGTTCCTGCTCTTTTTTCATTCACATAATAGGTAGACATTGGAAGAAAACACAGCAGAGCTCTGCAAAATTCTGTACATGTAGAAATCATGAAGTAATTGATAAGAAGTGCACCAGAACATCTTTCTGTTGTGGTATTTCATTAAGCATTCATACTCTGAACAGGAATAAAGAATACTTGTTTACTGATATATATGAAAAAAGTCAGTATAAGCACTCTTCTGGATTAGCTGCCACAATTGTACTCAATAATAGATGAAGAATGAGGTTTCCATTTTCTAGGACAAACAGGATGGTACTTATTTAGAATACAAACCCTTAATTCATAATGAACAGTCCATCTAAAACATGAAGATGAGAAGGCAACTGGGATTTTTATGGAAAAAGAAAAACGTAAGAAAATGTTTGGAATGACCACTCCATTAGAAAGAAATTGCAGCATAATAAAAAGTACTTAAGTAATGAAGCTGGTGAAGGGTCTGAAATAAAATTCTCATGAGTGTTGGTTGTTTATCTTGGAGACATAGATGCTCAGGGGGATCTTATCACCCCCTGGAACTACCTGAAAGCACAGTTAACAATGTGGGGATGGGTGCCTTCTCCTAAATTACCCTTGACAGAAAATGAGGAAATGGCCTTAAGTTGCACTAGGGAAGCTTTTGATGAGATTTCAGGGGGAAAAGAAATTATGCAAAAGGTTATCAAGCACTGGAACAGGCTGTCCAGGGAAGTAGCTGAGTCACCATCCCTGGAGGAACTTGAAAATTGTGTAGATGTGGCGTAGAGGGACATGGTTTAGTAGAGGACTTGGCACTGCTGGATAAACAGTTGGACTAGAACTTGGAGGTGATTTCTACTGTAGCTGATTCTATGACTCTAAGCATGGCCTGGAGACATTCCCAATATACAATTTCTCTGCTATGAACATGTAAGCATTGCTGTGATTTTTATATTTCTAGAGAATGATGTTTCCTAAGTCTCCTAGTTTGGATGGGATAGAGTTAATTTTCTTCCTTGCAACTGGTACAGTGTTGTGTTTTGCATTTAGGAAGAGAATAATGTGGATGACATTTTAGTTGTTGCTGAGTAGGGTTGACATTAAGTCAAGAACTTTTCAGCTTCTCATGCCTTCCTGCTACTGAGTAGGCTGGGGGGCACAAAGCTATAAGAGGACACAGCTGACCCTGATTGAGCAAGGGGCAGTTGTGATGCCATGCACAACATATAAAATTAGTGAAAAATTGGCCAGGGGTCTACTGCTTGGGTTGTAGTGCAGGCCACTGGGCATTGGTTGGTTGGTGCTGAGAAACTGGTTTAATTTGCATCACTTGTCTTCCTTGGATTTAATATCTCTCTCCCTCTAATGATTTAATTTCAATCATTAAAATTTTCTCTGCCCCCAAGTTTCCTTCTTTTTAGCCCTCCAATTCTCTCCCCCTCCCCACCAGGATGTGGAATGAGCAAGCAGCTCTCTGGTGCTTAATTGCTGTCTGGGGTTAAACCTTAACATAGAAATTAAATCTGCAGTGCATTTTTCTCTCAGCTACAGGTTAGAGACAAAAAGAGATAACAATGATATTCTGATATACCTTTACTAAATAAAGGCTGTGTTTGATGTGTGTTCTACTTATCTGATAGTTTAGAAACTGAAGAAAATTTTGGAGTTGAGAATCAACATCATCATAAGAAAAAAAATTTATACACCTGACAGTAGCGGTGAAATAATTGGGGCAATTAAAAAAAAAAAAAAAAAGACTTAGACAACTATTGTAAGGAGGAGATATATTCAGTAAAGACAGGGAACAAAAGCCCAAGATTGTAAAATTCTCAGTTTTCTTAGCATCTGTGACATTCAATACATTTCAACTGGATCAAAACTGGTATTATATCAAACGAACATTGTGTATTAATTATCCAGTTTTAAAAAAAAATTCTGATTTTTTTTTTCTGATATGCATTTATTTGAGCATTTTTGTCTAAACCCAAATTTTGTCTAAATTTCCATCATGCAAAGCAGTTGAGAATGGAGACTCCAGAAACTCCACCTAAACTGGTGGGGTTTTGGTGCACTTCTTGATTCATTCTTCATAAGGCTGAAAGCCATGATTAGTATTAAAATTTCTCCCCAGTCTTTTTTATTTTCTTTTTTTTTTTTTTGGCAAAGGGATGTTTTTATTGCTAAAAAAATCACATTAAAAACTTGTTTCTTTTGCACAGCTCCAAATACAATTCAGCATTACATAGAACAAACCTAAGATTTTTTTCATCTTTCTTAAAGAATGACATGCAGGCACTTATAGAAATAGTACAGATTTTTTAATTGGCAAAGGTTTAGTGGAGAAAAACTGAGAGCCTGGAAGGTAGGAAAACAAACTGGGAATACAGCCAAAACCAACAGAAGTAATGTAAAGTTGGGAATTTGGAAGCTACAGATGTACATAATGAAGGCTGAGGAGAAAGATCTGAGTTTCTACATGGTAGCAGGTACTGTGAGAAGGTGTACTTGACCTAATGTTCACAACTACAGTTATTAATAAATTGACATATCTAAATCATGTAAAAAACACTGTCTCAATTATTGTTCATTCCTCAAACCTGAAACAAGTATCATAACCTGACTAAAAACCATATGTCCACAGCCAGAGGAGACTGGGAATGCTGCCTAGATAATAAAATGAAAATGCCAGACTCTTTGATATGCCTTTTGTGTCTTTCCCCTGTGGGTACACATGCAGAATGCGCATTTTTGTTCTCTATAGCACTGGGACTTTTGTTTGCAGATGCTTTTCAGTTTTGGACTTATTCAGAGATCATTTAGTGACAGTCATCCCAGATGTATAACTAACCAGCAAGCGGCAACAGAGTAAATCAAAAAGTGTATTGTGTTTTTCTCTGCTGTACAAAAGAATACACTGTTTTTCCTTAAAAAAGACACCCCTCCCCCAAATAAAACAAAACCAAAACTAAACAAAAAACAAACAAACAAAAAATCAAAAAAAACCAACCAAACACACCTTCCCACTCCCCCACCCCCAAATCAGCTCAATATATGAAACTCAGTCTCTTACACAATATTTGTATTTTAGGACTAAGCTAATTTTAAGAGGAAGTTTGATATTTCTGAGCTTATTTTTTAAAATAAAGCATATATTTTATTAGTGTTTGCAAACATTAAAATCAGAAATCATAATTATAATCTTACATGAGAAATTGCTAACAGTTTTGCAGATGCAAAAATTCTTCTACAAAATCTGTGAGGTGCAGATGCTTGTTTCAAAGGATATGCACTCATAAACTGAAAGAAGCCAGACCAGTTGACAATGTTTGCAATCCTGCACCAGTGGTCCTTTTCTTTTTCGTTTTTTCATTGTTTCTCTGTCTCTGCTTTTGAGCAAGGTTCTTGAACACTACTTAGTACCTCAAGGAGCATGTGTATCAAGAAACAAAATATCTTTTTAGTACTCAGAATTAAGGAACTGAAAACAACTCCTTACTAGGCTTGTATTTCCTATCACTAGCTACACTACATCAAGACAGATGTTACACTGAGATATAAGCCAAGCTTCTCATGTGGTGAAGCTACTTAGAGGATCTCTAACCTCTCAAAGAAAATGGTATGGTACTTTCTATGGTATCTGTCAGGGCAGTGCTAACAGCTAGCTGGTTCCTTCATTGCTCAGTTCAGTTCAATAGTATACCTCTGCCAACAAGCAGGTTGTCAGTAAGAACAGTCTATTTAGTTTCTGACATCTTTTAGGGCTTGGGACAATATGCAGAGTTTTTTCAAAGCATAAGTGCTAGGTTTTATTGAAGTGGTATGACATGCACTGTTATGCACCAGTAAGAGTTAAACTCTTTCAATCACTTGGCACATTTTGTCTGGCTATGTTAAATGGATCACTGATTTTCCAGTGGGCACAAAACCAGACAAACATATGGGCAACATTTATAGGCAATCAGTACATTTACACTTAATTTGAGTATCTCAGCTGACTAATGAGGGACAGACTTAAAGCCAGAGCTTTCCAAGCTGTTGTCCATACTGAGATCACAAACTGATGCTTCAGAAGACTTGTCCTTTATGAATCTATTGGCCAATGCAATTTAAAACCAACCATGTGTTCATATGCTTCTTGTTGTCACGGTTCTTATGCTTCTGACTCATTAGTGTTTTAGTCTACCCAAGGACTAGGCTTTGGACATGAACTTCTCATTCGTCCTCAATTAACTGTGCTTTGTCATACAGTGGTCTCAGTGCACACAAATCCAATCACTTTTGAAAGAAGCTGAAACAGAAAATGTGCTCACCTAATTCTCTCCACAAGTCCAAAAAGTAGCAAGCTTCTCCCTCCAAACAAGTATATAGTTTGCAGCCAGGTCTCAATACTCTTTCACTCTGGGGTTATCTGTGTTGCTTGCTAATGTATTATTACCCTTAATTCAGGTATACCATAAAATATGAGTGAAAAAGACAGAATTTTTCCTTTTTAAGTTTTGGAATCTGAAAAGGGTTTGGATTTCTGATGTCTTGTGCTCTGATCAACACATAGTAAAGCATTTATGCAATATATCAAGCCTTTGCCTTAGCATAAAATTTTCATGAATTATTAAAAATGTTAGTAGAGAATTCTAAATAAGCTTTCTTTTTTTATAACAGATCCTAAAGGTGATGAAGATGCCTTACTATTTTAAAGCCGTGGCATCATGTCTCAAGGAAGAAAATGTATATGTAATTGCTGCTTCAGAAATCTTCTAGTTAACCACTAGTTCTGACAGGCGTATGTGCAGGTGAGTCCTTGCTTAGGGCTTCAGCACCCCTTACAAAACGTGTTTCAAGGCAGGACTTGAAGTAATGTGGGAGAGTAATGAGGAAATATTTAAAGTCTATCATGATTATTTTGAAAGGAAACTTTGGTCAAGGGTTTTGATTTCAGTCCAGCCACATCTGGCATAATCTTGCATTTTCAAAATTTCATAACAAACCTGCAAAAATCAATTAATATGATTACTTACTAAATGAATGAAATGTTTTCCCACTGCTTTCAGAGTCAATTTTCCTGTAAAAGGATAAACTATTAGAGTAATTTGAAAATTACTTTTTCTGGGAAATAGCATATTTCAGAATTTTTTGTTATGCAAATAAAACAGATTCTATGCAAACACAGTATATCTTTAATATCATTTGGCTTTTTTTTTTTTTTCTCTCTGAAAGAGGATAGTTAAGCAACAAAAACAACAACTGACTCTTACAAGAAGTAACTCCGTGCCTAGTAGTACAAGACCTGGTAAATTGTCATGCCTGTTCTTCAGCTCCTTCTTTTCCATTGTCAGAAGCAAAAAAGGTTAGGGGTCAAATGATAACAAACAAACAAATAAATAATTCTGCAAGATATGAACCTGGGGCAGGGTCACCTTCCACTAGATCAGGTTGTTTCCAGGGATGGGGCATCCATAGCTTCTCTGAGCAAGCTGTTCCTGTGACTCATCACACTCAGTAAAAAATTTTTAGTCAAGAGTCCTTGGAACAGAATATTAAAATTTAGAGGAGGACAGATTGGAGAACTCTAAAATAACTAAAAGAAATGGGATAACAAGTCTTTCTCTGGGCTATTTTCCTTTCCAAGTGCTACATATTTTTCCCAAACCTGAAGAGATTAGCAGCTAAAGAGACCTAATGAAGCCAGAAAATGGCATCCTAGTCTTTGGATGACAAACACTAATATATAACTTGTAAATTTTACATGTTTTATGTAAATTTTTTATCTTTTTTTCTCATACAAACAGAAATAAGATACTGTTCTTTATTCCTGCACAGTTTATTTTGTTGTTAATGACTCACCGTACTGTAATTCATAATTGATGAAGTGGGAGTAGCATTCACATTTTCTCTAGAAAAGGAAACAGGTGCAAAACTATTTCATACACTTTAAGCAAAAGAAAACACCCTTCCTGCTATATGGAGAATTTATTTTATACTTAATTAATTCTTCCATTTAATTATTGTGAGTTGTGTAGCAAGGATATATATGTGGGAAGGTTTTAGACAGTGACTGAGCACCTCTGGATTTCACTATATAACTTGTTTCAGAATAATTTTCTTGTGGACCCATACCTTTCCATGACCTTTTGCTCTTTAAGTCTGCTAAGTACTTGCCATTACATAATTCTCTGCAGCTAAATGTCCTTTTTTAGAATTCCCTTCCTTATGAATCAATAACATTTATGTAGTTCCAAGTCTCTGTAATACCACTGCCAATCTGTTAATGCCTTCAAAGGTACAAACTCTTCCTTTCCCACCTCAAGCATAATGTTAGTCTCGATAGAACGCACAAATCAAATTTAGGGTTATGCTTTCCACAAGTAGGCCGCAATTCTTCCTTATGTTGTGAAGTTCTTCACTTCTTTCCCTGCTGTCACTGATTTCGTCTGTCCAGCCTCCTCACTGTGGGCAAAACTTAAAGCACACCATCTGGGACTACCTTCCTGTATCTTTACCACATTTATTTGCCTTCTGTTCACAAGTCTCATTGGAAAGCCAATCTTTAACTTCCTCTTAATCTCCATTCCCTCCACTCTGTGACAGTTTTATTCATTCACTAGAGTATTTAAAATTCAGTTTATGAAAAAGGTAATCGAAGGTCTTCACTCCTATGGTATTTAGCAGTATTGTTGGTTGAAGTTACAAGTTTTTATGTACATCTGCATATTCTTTCAAAAAGAACATCAAATTAAAACATGTTAAAATAATGTGATATATAAAATAAATAAATGGAAATATGATACTTGTTTGTCAAAATCATCTTTCAATTAGATGAGTAAAGCATAAATATCATAATCACTCCATCCAAATAATGTATAATACCACAGATCAATACCAAGGACATTATCCTAAGTCAGTAAATCAATAGTTAATTTTGTGTATTCCAATGTCTCTGACTCAAATGCACTTATTAGAGCATAAAGGAGTACGCCCAATAATGACTAATTTTCAGTCTTTTTACTGTTATATTCACTATAGTACAAGGCAGAGGAGGGAGGCTTTTCAATAGATCTTGAAAAAAACTTTTATTGAAGGACTCTGAAGACACTGTTCCTTTTTTTTTTTAGCTAAATATAAATGGAAGATGAAATATTTTAGGTATGGTAAGTCAAATCTTCAGGGCAGCACTGCGAGTTGCATCAGCAACAAACCGTTGCAGAAATACTGCTGCAGGTGGTAGTTTTTTGGGTGAACTACAGCTGCTGTATAGGTCTTATCTAGGATGTTTAGTTGGCAAATTGAAACTTATTTGTCTCGTAGTCACAGTTTCACCACATGGGCACTCTCAGTGAGGTCTATGCATAAGTTTAAGTCACATAGACGTCAACTAGAATTTATGTGACATGGGAACCATTAGGAGCTTGTAATTTGTTATGGACACTTGGACACTGTTCATGGTATGTGGTCTGACTTTTAGTTAAGTTGAGGTTTCAGACCAACCTCATTGGCAGTGCTTGTTTGCTTTATTCAAAGCTTAGAGAATTTATAATCCCACAGAAATCTAGAAACTTCAATGATGCAGACCTATCTAGCCTTTTATTTAATTTCAAATATCATATCACCTGCTTTCATCACACGGGAAAATGATCCTCCTGAAGCACTTTGAGTGCTTCTCAATGTTTTAAAACAAGTTATAGGTTTTGGAGAGCATTCTTATTCTTTTCTCTATTTAGCATAAAGTACAAAAAATCCTGTTTTACAAGGAACTTAAGTTCAGTATACCAATTTAGGAAATTGTTTTAGGTTAGTCAAAGACCTGACTAATTTCTTTTTGGGTAAGTTAAGCTGTTAACAGTTAGCTACTCTGTACTTTAGTCCTCAATGCCAGAGTTCTTTTCAAATATTTTTCAAAATTTATGCAATGAGCTAACCTACTTGTTCTTGAAATTTAAACTATCTGTCAGGTCTATTTATTTTTTTCTAAAAAAAAAAATTAGTAATAATTTCTCTCCACCTTTGACATAAGCTTTCCATACAACCCAGATTATAAATTCCAAAGACCTTAATTACATGATGCCACTTTGTTATATGTAGTTTTTTTTCCCTCTTACAAATTTAAAAACAGAAATCAAACAACAAAATATTTCTTCTAGCTTGAATTAGCATTATTGTCCATTGTTTTATTGGAAATCTCATTTCAATAACATTAAATGTTATTGAAAGAGAAATAATTGCCTTTAAAATCAAAAGGATAGAGAGTTAACCACAAGAAGGACATGGGACTACAATGCAAGCATTATCACACAACTATAACTTTACCTACAGTTTATTTTTTTAACTTTACTATGTGGTAAGTACAGAGAAATAATAGCTTCCAGAAATAAAGCTCTGAAAGAAACATCTATTATAATTTTCTGCATGGATCTCCACATACACTAAAGTCACAGGATTTGCATTACAATTTGACATACAGAACAACACAAGCAAAATCTGAATTCAGAGTGATTGTGAAGATACTATTTTCTCTTCTTTTTTTTTTTTTTTAATGCAAATATCCCAAAATAATGTTTTATGTTATATAGACTATATACAAGATCTGATCTTATATAAATCATTAAGGACAACATATCTTTGTGTATTGTCCCCCAACAATACTTTGAATTTAATATTTTAACTTCTTAAAAAAGAATTTGCAAATTACTCTGGTGAAACTCTACCATAAGGTAGCCATTATTCAAATGCTGGCTGGGCATCAGTGTTCACATGGAAGGTGTGAGCAATTAGCATTGAATCATGTGGTTTATTTTATTCTTTCTTCCTCCCCTTTCCTTTGCTTTTTAAACTATCTCAACCCACCAGTTCTCTTCTGTTTGCTCTTTTTCTATTGTCTTCACCATCCCATAGAAAGGACAGAGTGAGTAAGCGGCTGTGTGGTCCTTAGCTGACAGCTGGATCAACCCCTCATGACTGTCATTTCTTGTGCCTGTTCTTTCTGATGCATTGCTAAGATAACATTGTTATCTAATTTCAAGGCTTTATATTATACCACATTACCAACACCAAAAATGAAGGATACATATTGCAGGTGTCATTCTGACAATGGTAATTCATCCTTACCTTAAAAAAATGCATCAAAGGTATTTGAGCTGCTGGACTGAAGAATGAAGCTTTTATTAGCATAAGGGTAGCTGACTAATTATTCCTAAGCCACCAGAGCATCTAATATGACTGACAGTGGCTTGTGCTGTCATATGATAATTTGCTGGTATATAACTCCTGGAGAACTGGAATTTTCAGATTCAGTAGAAAATCAGAATCTCCTCATGCTGATGTACTTGTGCGATTTAATTTTGTATTTCAGCTATCCTGATCTCCCACCAGAGACGGTTTAGGCTGGATATTAGGAAAGATGTCTTCATTAAGATGGTGTCAAGCATTAGAGCAGGCTGCCTAGGGAGGAGATTTAGTCACCATGCCTCTAGGTATTTACTAGGTGTGTACGTGTGGCATTCAGGGACATGGCTGACTGATGAACTTGGCAAGGTTAGGCTTGCAGTAAGAATCCATGATCTTGAAGATCTTTTTCAAAGTAAATTATTTTATGATTCATCCCACAGTTGTTTAAAGCCACCCTCCACCTGTAAAGTCTGTGAAATATATGTTACAATTAGAGCATATATTGGAATTCTTTCTTACATTCAGATCTTTGGTCTTTGACTTGTTTCATAAAGCTGTTGTATTATAACTTTGAAAGAAAATGGTATTTGATGCAGAAATTATGAAACTCCTGAGATCGCCATCTGTTTTAAAATCTTTCTTTATTATGCTTCACTTACTTCCTATCCTCCAGTTTTTTACCTTTTAGAGGAGGATGAAGAGAGCCTGTATTTTTAGAAATTAATTTTCTAGGGGATTGTTAATTCATTATCTGCTCTTTTACAGCTGCTGAAGAAGAAGGGATGAGTCTTCTTCCATTTTTGTGAATATATATTAATTCATTAATCCTCTTTGTGTTGATCACTGAGGAATCTTGATGTATAAACAGATAATATGATTTGGAATAATTTTGGTACACTTTGTTAATGAATACAATAAGAAGGACATAGTATGGGAAATAATATAGTCACATATAAACTGAATAATGCAATCACTTAGTGAACAAGTCTTAGGTCCCTTTTTAGATTTGACTTAAAAGATGATCCACATGGAATTTATTTCAGAAAAATATATAATAAATGCTAGATTAAGTAAATATACTCTGGAGAAGAATAGAGAAAGAAAATTGAATAGAAATGAATTAATATTACTATAGCAAAATAATACAAGAAATACCCAATTTTTTTTCAAAATAACTTTTCTACTTCACAAAACCCATTCTGGTTGGGGAGTGGGGTGGGGGGGGAGGGTTGGGAGTGAAATCTTTCTGCTCTTAAAAATGCCAAGGAACAATGTAATGAAGGTTTTGAATGTGTATTAGCCAACATCAAAATGAATCCTTTCACATAAATGAAAGGATTGACAACATAGGTGAAAACTTTTGAAAAAGCCTGAAAAGGATTGAACACAGAGTTTAATAGGACACATTGCCATTAAGCTTCTACAGCATTTATTTTCTGTAGATACTAACTGTATACACGCTGATGTTTTGAATGTCATGCTTTCTCAGAAACAGTAGTTTGAATGGATATCACTGATTTGCTGTGCTGTGCTCCATTTGAAACAAAATGTATAGGTCTGAGACAAACAAAGTGAGAAATATATAGGAACTACAGAACAAAAATAGCTACAAATAAATCAAGGAAAAAATGAATGAAAGACATGTGAAGAAAAAATTAAAATAGTGTTTTAAATTGCAGTGAGCTACTATTCTTTGTCATGCTAAATTTTGCCAAATTTCTTAAATTTTCCTGGATCAATATTTCAACTAATTTGGTGAAGCATAGCCAAAATTCTCAAGGGGCAAAATAGATTCATTTTACTAAAAATCCATATTATTCTCCATTTCTGGCACATTGTTTTTTGGGAAGAATGTTGTTTAAACTGCATATAAAACTCCATTTTGTCAGTCTCAATTAAAGGATCAGCTGCAGCTAGGAATACTACCTGTAATGTCAACATACACAACACACTCTCCTAGAGAATAAGACAACACATTAATTGGAGGCATAACATTTATTTTGGAGAATGCTCTCTAGCATGACTTTAAGATGGCAATATATGTTCAGTATGAGATCTTGAAATATTAATTGCAGTCTAGTGGTAGAAAAATACGCATTTACAATAGCATCCCAAGATAATAACAAAAATGTTGCAAACTGTGTTCTCCATATCAAGGACTTGATTTTGTCCAAGGTGTTGACTAGTTCTTGAAACATGTTAAAAAAAACCTCCAAAATATTTTATGATACATATAGTGTTCTAACTGTGAAAAGAAGAAACAGTTTGAGAAAACTCTTTTGAAGCAGCTAAGTTTGGTTCAAGTTTAGGAAACAGTGACAATTGCAGGTTACCCTCAGGATTTGTCAGAAAAAAAATGCAGTTTCTTTATGCATGCACTAAGAAAAGCAAGCAAGCAAAAACAATCAAACAACCACAAAAAAAAAAGCAAATCAGCCAAAGAAACCAAGCAAGGAATATCCCCAAAACCCACACCTCTCATACACTTCAGGGTTCCTGAAATTGCAAACACTTTCAGCAATAATGTGACAGTCAGTAGTACCTACAGGGTTGTTCAGGTCTCCCTAAGTGAAGATTCAAATGGTGGGCAGCTGAACTGTGGATTATGCTGCCTACATCCTCAGTGATCTTTGGTTGGTGCTTAGATGTTTAGTTCATTCCATAGAGAGTCACCTACTTTTAAGCTTCATAATATAGTTTGAATTTTACATTTATCAGTTAAGTATTCTCACAAATGTGCTGGTAGAAACTAGAATAAGAAAGAAAAAGCTTTCCTTTCTTCCACTTTTCTTTTTTTTTTTTTTAAAGTGGTAATTTCTCTGACAGCCTGAATGTTTCTTAAGGAAAATATTCTTACTGTATGATCTTAGTGTCTCTGTTGTGTATGATGAAAACAAATTTCTTCTTGACAGATTCCTGGAAGGAGTGACAGAGAACATGGGCCACCTCTGGTGTTGAAGTTTACAACTTGTGAATCTCTGTCTTCTTTCCTCTCATGGAGGAATCAGGTGATAGAATGATTTTATTTTTAAGACATGTTATTTTTAACACACTTTATATCTCTGAAACTAATATATCTGAGGAATTGTGAAAATAAATGCTGAAGTACTTGAAGCAAATCAGTTTTCTTGTGTAAGTTAATTTTTAAGTTCCTTTGAAGCATGTGCAATTGGTGTAAATGAGTATTCCTATATAATGAAGTAATAAACACAGCTAGTAGAAAATTTTCTGCACCTTTTGAATTCCCTGTATAACCACATGGACCTAGCAATTACTTTTAAATGATAAAAACATTCCTGTTTCCCACTGCCTATAAAATTACAAATAAACAAAAATACCAGTGTCTGGAAAGTATGATTATAAAGCCCTTGATATGTGGATGTATGGACTAAGAGGAGATTTAGAACTCAGAAAAATATTGTTTTAGATTTTACAATTATATCAACAATCATTTTAATTAAAAAAAATTTGCTACTAACCAGACGTAGATCAACACATGTAGAATTGTGTTCACAAGCATTGACTATGCAGTCATCAATGTCTTGGTCACATTTCAATCCTGCATATCCTGGGTTGCACAAACAATAGAAGCCATCGACAACTGCAACAGAGATCATACTTTAGTACTAAGAGTCACAAGAACTGAATGTAGTAAATTTACTAAGTTCCAGGTATGAATACTATCTGGAAAAGATTAAGACCAGCTTTACTTAAATGGTGTAGACATGTAAAAAAAGTTTGAATAAATTAAATGTGGTCTCAAAACACCTTTTAAATATAAAAGCAGATTAATGTACTGAAATATTTAGATTCAAGAGTTATAAATCAATGAGTTAAAAAGAGATGTTATAAGTAATGAGTAATTTTCTATCACAAAATAATCACAAAATACATAAGATTCTATCTTTAAAATGATATCAAAATAAGATATGGCAGTTAAACAATGTTTGGTTTATTGGTTGCTTTTAATGTTATTTTTGTTGTAAGGAATGCCTCATATTATACCATTCTATTGAGAGAAAACATACTTAAGTTGAAATTTTATATGAAGTATTTCTTAACAAGATAAGGACAGATAATCATAAGAATTTTGTCTCTTTTTCATAATTAGTGATCCAAATGGCAAGGAATCTTTAGAGTGTTCCATTCATATATGGAGTTCATGCCAGAAAGAATCACACTTCTTGCAGGTCTGCATTTATTTTAACCTCAAAGGAGTCCCTGGGTTCTTCATTATCCCTGAGATTTACTATAAAATCTATTCTACCATCGTGTCTGTGCACACAGCTGCTACTGTATTCATTAAATTCTTTAAGTCCTGCAGCACAGGAGCATTATTCATGTGCTAAAAGCTTCCCACCTTCCTTAGGATTCCAGCTTTCTGCAGCCAGTGCACATAGGGTAGAACTCAAATGTCCGCATGATAAAACTCAACCCAGAGGCACCACAAGGACAAGGTGTTCCCCCAAAAACTGGCTCTTTGTCAGCATGAAGAACTTATATAGCTCATCTGAATTCCTGTTCAAAAATATCTCTAAACCAATGTAGACCACATAGAAATAATCTGTAAATGTAATAGGAAATCTTTACTAGAGAGAAGATGAAGTCTTTCACCTTATTCCCAGATAAGGAAAGACAGACTTTTTAAGATATTTTATTGAAACTGATTTTTATTTTTATTTTAACCAGGAGAGTTTTGACAATGATATATTTAGTAATTTGGGCTCAGTTCTTCAAGATCTCATCTGAAACCATCCTTTTTTTAAAAGGATGTGAGGAAACAGGAGAGAGATGTAGAAGAAGACAAACACAGTTACTCAGTGCTTAAAGTGTAGACACTATGAGGAAAAGCTGAACAGGCTTGCTTGGTATTAGACCTTTAGGGAAGTGTTCATAGTGAGAGGGCTATTTAACAATAACTTGTACACTTGCACAAATGACAGAACCCTTAGTAGTGCTAGAAGGTCCTGTGAGGCAATGGCCAAAAGTTACAGCTCAGGAGATTTGGATGGGACCGGAAGAGTGTGAGAATTGCCAGAGTAGTTAATTGGTGGAACACACTCTCCCAAAGAGTTTCTAAAATTTCTGTCCCTCTTTGAAGGCTTTTAAAACTCAGCTATAAAAATCCCTGACTGACCTGCTCTAGCACTGTTAGTAGTCTAGCTTCGTGCAGGGTTGACTACACGACCTTCAGATGTTTTTCAGCTTTCCAGTCAGCATTTTAAGATCCTCTGAAAAATACTTCTACTTTTTTTTTTTTTTTTTTTTTTTTAACAAGTATAGAAAGCATCAGATAGATGGTAAGAGCCTTATAAAACTTTCAAATAAGTACCCCATAACTTGGCCTGCCAATCCAGACAGAATATAGTAGGGTAATCAAGTTGCTGCTAAAACCTTTCGGTACATCTTGTAATGAAAGTTACACCGTTACACATAGAAGGTAAACAGGTACATCTTTTTACATTAGTTTGAAATTAAACAGAATTTTCTGACTTATTAGAATTATGACATGCAATGCCTAAGTGCTCCGTGAGCTGTTTTTGAGCACCTGAATATTCTCTCATGAAATGCACAATGTATGACGTTTTTGGTTAATTTAGGTATCAAAGGAGACAGCACAAATCTCATTAAAAATTCTCATTAGCTACAATTCTGACCCCCTGAACACAAAAACCCCAGTTCCAGGAGCTGAGGTATTTCGGCAAAAATAATCCTTCTGGTACAGGCTGTGAAGCTTCAGACAAGCTAAATTTCAGTAAATTATCCACTGTTCTCCCCAGAGCAGCTCAGCAGCTACAGACACTTCAAGAGAAAGACTACCCTACATTAAAGTGAGTAACCAGACTGAACTCACTGTCATAGCAGTATCCGTGGAGGCAAGGGTTAGAGCTGCACTCATTGACATTGATCTCACAGCGTGGACCTGCAAAGCCCTTCACACACTGGCAGTGGAATCCAAGGGGAAACATGTCCAAATTCATTTCTTCTATGCACACAGCTCCATTCTCACAGGGATTGCTGGCCTCACAAGGCCTAAACTCACAGTTCAAACCTGAAAAAGAAAACGGCAAAGCTGTCAGTGTTAAACTAATGAATATATCCCTGCAGCTGCTGTCTATTATGAGCTTTATTTTCTTTATAACCCTGGTTAAAATCGAGTAGGAGGGTCTCAGAAGTACATATATGTATATTACAATGCAGAAACATCTATTTGCTTAATAGCATTTAAAAAAAAAAGACAATCTTTAAAAAAAAGACAATCTATATTTTGTTTATATTACTTTATATGATACAGTAAATGAATTTTTTTAGAATGCATTTAAAAACAAAAACGAATTTTGATTGAAGCTTCCTCCTATTTTGTCTTGATAACCTGTTGTCACAACTACTACTTGAATCATTCCTACATTAAGCTATAATAGAGAAAATGAATTAGATATATGTAACAGTGTATAATTGTTCTGCTTACCATCCATGACTGAATACAAATTATTTTACTGAAAATATATACTTATCTAATAATGAGTGAATGCCTCCATTATTTATAAAAATTCCATACAATAGAAAATCTCACACAGTCCCACTGTATTCTTCCCTTACTAACACTCTTGTATAGAAGATTATGTACATTTATCTGGCCTACCCAAAGAACTTTGTGATTGTGGATCTTAGATGCCCTCGTCTAAATCTTTAATTTACAATAATTAGATACAAAGAGATTTAAAGGTCCTATAAATTGAGCCTTAATTTGTTAGAACATAATAAAACTGTTTCATGTTTTCCAGTACTGATAATGGAAATGAGGGTGGCAGAGTCAACTGAGGTTTGTAAATCTGCCTGCATTTTCAGTCAGTGCTGCTGGAGGTAAGTCTGTTCTTTCAGGCTTACTTTCAGACAGTACTTAGTGACTCTCAGGCTGTAACACACTGTACACAAACCCCTCTTTAAAGCCTTTCCACAACTACTGAAGCTGTGTCTATGCCATGCTTTCTGGTGGAGCTTCCCAGGATCTGCTGTGCTCTGAGCCTTCTGCACCTGTGCCCTTGCCTCCACTATGGTTGTCCAGACATTCCTTTCTGCAGCAGTTTCTCTCTCTCCCAAAAACCTCTCTGTTCCTCAGACAGGCTGTAACCTTAATCCAGTGATGGGCAGTGTGACACTACAAGACAAAACACCTGGGTAGTCATGTGGAAGATATAATCCACACAGTTGCACTAGAGTGGGTTGGTAGCTGACAGATGCCCATTCTCAACAGGCGGGAGAAAATAATAAGAGAAAACCTTGAGGACCATGATAAGAATAGGGGCATCATTTACAAATTACTGTCATTGACAAAATAGAAACAACACGAGGAAAAATGATTGAATTAACTGCCAATTAAAAATAGCACTGGATTGTAAAAAAAACCCACAAAGATAAAACCACCTTTCTCCACCCCTCTTTTCTTCCCAGACTCAACCTCACTCCTTCAATTCAGACTCCTCTACCTCCTCCTTACCCATGAATAGCATAGGGGATGGGGAATGGGAGCTGTGGTTAATCCATGACCCTGACACTTCTGCCCTGTGTCAGTGCAGACCCCCCACAGGCCACAGCTCCTGCCAGGAGCCTTCATAATAATGAAACAACACTGTTCCAAAATGTCAGCAGGACTGTAGGTGAGCTCACTGTAGGTGCTTACTGTAAGATTGTCATTTAAGGGCTGAATTCTAAACACTTTTAATTAGCAACTACAACAGGTAGGAACAGAACTGAGCTTAAAAAAATCCAACAACCCTTTGACCCAGTAATGGTGCTGACAAAAGAGGAGAAAACAACACAAGTTGTTCCCTGTCTTTATGCTTATGGTCTCTCTGATGCAGGATGATCCTGCTAAAGACAGCCAGCACTTTCAGATCTAGAATTCATGAAATTGCACAGCAAAAGAAGCCATATGGCTCATTGAGATTTTGCCCTGAAGTTTCCATATTTATATCACAACAGCTTGACATGAGTGAAAACCCTTCTGATTCCTAAAGTGAAATAACACAAATAAGCTTAACACATGGCTCACAATCCTAAATGGAACTGTCAGAGGATCTAATAATGCAATACTTAATTTTCTTTACCTGGAGAGGCAGCTTTACCTCTGCACCTACCTTCTGTGAACTTCCTTTTCTCTTTATGCTCATTCAGAAGCCCATTTAGGTGGGGTTTTTTTGTGTTTTTGAGCCACACCTGCTTG